CTGGCAACTTCCGACCACCAATACCGCCATTTCTAGCTGACTTCGTGGGTTTATTCCAGCCGAATCCGTGAGTTATGGGGAGATTTTTCGTGGTAATTGAAGATGACATTGTAGGCTTTCCAACGGTATTTCGAAAGTTGCCAAAAATTGCCGCAAACTCTCCCAAAAAATCTGAAAATCTGGGCAGATTTTCAGATTTTTCGGTAGCCGATTTCGTGAGCGTATGCTGGCCGAATACCTCGGAGTTATGGGGAGATTTTTGGTGGTAATTGAAGAGGATATTGTGGGCTTTCCAACGGTATCCAAATTCGACGCTCTTGGTGGTCGGAAGTTGTCGAAAAATCGCCGCAAAACTTGTCCAAAAAATTTGAAAATTCAATGGCCGTTTGTGAAAGAAATTTAAACTTCAGTGACCCTTTTTACAAGTTTTAAACTTCAGTGACCGTTTTGTAATTTTCAGGTTTGAAGGACCATTTGTGAAATTAACCCATGCTATATTCAAGGTAGTTAAACTATTCTTTGGAATTAGTTACCGTTTAATGCAAGAATCAAGGTAATTAATATTTCAAAGTCATCTAATACAAATACAAATAAATAAATGTCATGGAAGATAGAATTTTTTTTTTTTTTTGGGTTTTTAATTTATAGGTACAACTCCAATTGAATAATGGAGTGGTTTATATTTGTGATAACAAAGCATATTAAATAAGGGCATATTATGAAACTAACATATTAATTACACTCTAAAATAAGAAACGAGACCATAATTTGGGACGGACGAAAAAGGAAAACGAGACTATCTTTATGGGATGAAGGGAATACTTTTTATTTACACATTTTGTAGAACTCACAATTAACTACACACATTATATGCAAATTCAGTATGACCATAACTTATAAGCACTTAAAAGCAATACCAAACATGCTAAAAGTTTGCCGATCACTGTAGTCCACACAGAGAAGAAATTTACCTAGAATCATTTTTTTCATAATATAATACTATAAAACGGACTTAACAGCAGATAATCTCACGAGTAATAACTGCTATCCATAAATCTCAAGTACAAGACAAACACCACCAAAACTCGAATAACTAATCTACTTTACACTACTTGACTAAACCACCAGTCTAAAGATTAATTAAATTAAGGATAAAATACATAGTTTTCATTGCATCTTATGCCTCAAAAGAAGATACATCATTAGTATATAGTTTTCATCTCCACTTGGGTATTTGATTTGCACTAAAATTGAAAAGGCCAGCATTAGAAATGCAAAGGGGCACACCACAACACTTCACAGAAATATATTACTGTATACTTTCTACACAAACAAAATCCATTCAAAATAAAGAAATGCTCAAAAAGGTTTAATAGCCATAGTGTGAAAGGTCTGACTAACCTGATAAATGGTTTCAGCTGATTTAACAAATGCACGCCATGCACATCTCCTGTCTAGATCTGACCTCGACGCCCTTAAAGCCTCTTCAGGTAGAGCAGCGTCCATATCGAGCAAGTTGATTTTTAGACACCTTAAAATTTCAGAAGCTTTGCCTCCTAAAGGTTTTCTTGAGGCTTCAGGAGCTATACTGCCCTTGGATACTGATACGACCCCAAATGCTGGCCTTTTAACCTTTATAGATGAACCTTCATCCTTCTCATTAACAAATACTGATTTCACCCTTGCAACTTTAGAACCCTCACCCAAGTCATTTTTAGCACTTCTTGCTAAGCTAATTGATTTCTTACTGTTCTTCATACAATCCATAATGCCAGGTTTGTTACCCGATCTTTGCAGCCAACTTCCGAAATCTGCTGGCCTTTTTTTTGAACTAACTTCATTTCCCTTAGCGGGGACTAATCTTAGAGCAGGATCACCAAGATAAGAAGACTCGATTGGTAGAAAGGATGGTTTGCCCCCTGAACCAATCAATCCTATGTCCTTAACTAATTCCTTGAGTGAGTTTTGAGTGTTGAACCTAGCTTTAATCTCCTCAAAATTAAATGGACACTCGAGTTTATTAAGATGATCAACAGGACGAGATCCATCATAGTGTCCCTCACTCGCAGAGTTTTGAACAGTCATATTACCAGAAAAATTGTCCTGTGGCATTACATTCTTCATCTTCTTGCGCTTTAAGGAATCTTCAGTACTCTGGCCTCTCTTCAAGTCAAAGGCCCGTGTTTTGCACTTTTCCACAGAATGCTTTCTCGACTCCTCGCTGGTTGCAAAACTTTGGTGACAAGAGAGGCAATGCTCTCTAGAAGGCCACAATAACTCAAGGCATTCACATCTACACATTTTGTCCAGACGGACTCCAGGAGTGAGATTTGTATGGACATCAATGGTCTCTAAGCAAGGACCAAATTTCATTTTTAAAGCAGCCATAGCCTTTGTAGCTGGAAAATCAGCAGGTAAAGCTATTCTTCTGAAAATGCTTGATTCTCCCCTGTTAAGGACATGCTTTTCAGCATAATTTGAGTATTCGAACTCATTATTTTGCCACTGTACAATAGCCTCTTTCAATTTTCTCTCACTCATTTTATCTTCCCTCAGCCATCCAACTAATTTTTCAATTTCACCGTGAGATTCATAAGACATCCATGTCGCAGAATCAGGAATGTCACCGAACTCCTCAGGAGATCTCTTTTTGGAAGCCAAGCTCCCGTTAGCTACTATACATGAACGAGTTCCAGGCCAGGAAAATCCCCAGTAAACTCTGCCATTAGAATCTCGTCCCAAGAAATGCTTTCGAAGAGATCCTTTAAGAAGTTCCAATTCTATTGAAGCAATTGAGCCCTGCAAACGAGAAATATCATTCTTTTGGACACTTGTCTGTTGCTGAGCAGACATGGGTAGCTCATTTTTCAGACTTAAATGTGCATCACGATCATCATTTTGAGTGTGCTCGCTTCGAGGCTGTTGATACTGCAAATGGTGGCTTAATGCACCAGGATCTTTTATAATTTGATCACTACGGATAGTAGAATTCGTTTCCAAAATGCTTCTTGAAGGAGGCCAACTAGGCTGGTTGCTGTAATCACTCTGTCCATGAACATTTGGGACATTTTCCTGCTGCATGAAACCACCAGAGGACGAGATATGGCTGCCTATTTCGGATGGTTTTTCCATGTAATTTTCATTACCAACCACAGAAGTCAATGCCTCTGACTCCAAATCTCCACACCCGTTGCCTATACTAGTGTTTACTTTCTCAGTATTTGCAGCCGACATTTCTTCCTTAGATTTCAGCAATTTCCATTCAGAGGTGAGGGAACGCAGTTTCTGAAGCAACTCAGTGTTCCGAGAGGCACACTGATCTATATGGTCATGAATGGTAGCAGAATTCAATGCCTCATCAAACAAGAATTTCATCAAGAAAATTCTCTGCATCAGGGAGAATAGTATATTAGGATAAACTCATGGATCATCACTTATTCCATCAATAAATGGAGTAATTTAAGGGGAAAAAAAGAATTTTTTTCTACTTTGTTGGTAATTATTTGGAGTCCAGACAAACTTTTTTTATATCATACTACAAACCCACGAGTAAAAAATTTGATGTAACAAGACAAAACCAAACTAGTGCAATGGAAAAATCCAACACGGGTTATAAAACAGAAGATCAATAAAATCCAGGATTGGACTAAAGAAATGCTAAGTGTGTGAAGTTTCCAGGATCATAAAAAGCTGGCTAACATAAGATCAGCTGTAGTGCTTGAATAATTTAATGGCTCTTTATCACAAACTCATTTTGAGCAACGATAAGAATACTACTCAGCTATAAGAAAATCCAAGCTTAACATTGTACACATGATTAAAAAAACACAAAATTTGAAGGACAGACCTCCTCCACTGAAAAGTCCCAATATTCTCTTATCGTCATCAGGTTTGCTAATTGAGCCAACTTTTCCAAAAACTTATGTGTGAATTCTCCATGATGTCTTCTTTTACGAAATTGGTTAACAACTGAACCATAGCCTACTGTCCAAGAGGTAGATTGACCAGCAACACAAGAAGGGCAATACCAGTTCCCTTCAGGAATTCTTAGAAGTGGAGGGTTCAAGCAATATCTGTGATACTCGGAGTCACATCTATCACATAGTAGAACGTTGTCATCATCTTTATCCATGCCACACACCTTGCAGATTCCCTCGTCCCAAGGAGCTCTAGGAAGTGAGATCTCACTTACTTGGGCAAGCAAGTCATCTCTCTCCTTTATAGCATCACCACTTGAACCTTTGACATTGTCAAACTCCGCAATTTTGTGGACTAGGGCAAGAACCTGGGGAAGAACATGTTAAGCCAAGGAAACGAACATCTTGATCCAAGCATTTTCAAAGTATCAATGCAGTCGATGGCAATAAAGCAGAAAACAAAAATTAAGCATGGCTTATCTCTTACGAAGATCAGACATCTGTTCAAAAGTCTACACCAAATTGCACGACGTAACATCAGAAAAGGTATATTTCCACGTATCATTATCTTTTGAATAATCAGGGATAAATAATTTTTGCTTAAGATGGCTATGATAAATTTTATTCAGCTTAGTTTCACTCAGTCACTGAAAAAGTGTAGCAGGGGTCCAGACAAGATTTTTCAGAAATTTCATTTCTTTCTGTCGGCGTTAGTTGGGAAGGAGGTTGTGAGGATTCAGCGCTGTCTTTTGTCTCCTTGTTCATCAAAGTCATGTCGCAAGAGAATACAATCAATAAACCATAATAGTCTTAATCTTCTGACAGCAAGGCAGGTTGCACCAGTCAAACATGCCTTTGTTTGAGCCCTATTTTTTGGGGAAAATGAGTTTTGTAATAGTAATTTTTTTTTTTTGACAATGGAGCTCAAACAGGGGCATCTGTTCTATGAGTTGCGAGCATTATCAAGATGGCAAAGTTCAAAATGTAAACTGTAACGGCAAAGTTATTTATCCTGAAGACGTGCGTAGAAAAACTTCTTCAAAATGGAAATGAGCTGTCATCATAGCATAAAGCACGCATAATAATGCTTGGATATCAAGTCAAAATATTATTGACGAACCTCTTTCTCGTATAAATCTTCAAATTTTTGGGACAAACTATCAACCAAGTCACTCAAATCAGATCGTTCCCCATATGCAGTTCGTATGTTATGCCAAACCTAACAGAAATACACGAGTTAGAAAAACTGGCATTTCATTGGAAGGCTGAAGGCTTGTGATTTGTGAATTACGGCTTCATGAATCAAAGAGATACAAAACATAGAGTTGTCATAGAAATATGAATGTGGGAATGATATCAATTGTTTACTTTCCACTGAAATAGATCAAAGAGAGAGAAATTAGACAATCTGGAAAGTGGCATAAGTAGAATAAATGCACAAGCGTGACATAAACATAACTTGACTAAGGACTAACTAACATAACTTGCTAGACTTGACTACAACATAAATGAATCTTAAAGGTGATCTTTAGGATAGTGAATGTACAGATTTTAAAATTAAAACAGTTGCACCCAAGGAACCCTATCAGGGTTAACTGATATCAATAATTTTCTAGCAAAAATATCTACGTGGTAGGAAAAATAAACCTAGTGAGTTGTAAAAAAACAAATTAACTACTACTAAATGTACTATCACATTCTAATTCACGACGACCTGATGAAAATTGGACCTTAAAATCAACTTAAGGTTCCTAGACCATAATTGAACTGCAGTCTCAAGAAAATTTAAGGAACGCGACAACATAATGGCAACAAACAAAGCAGTGATTCAAGAAGGTATGCATATCGGCAGATCGCAGTTCAAGTGCAAACAAATCCAAGAGGACCAATAGGTTCTATAAAAGAGATTACAATTTCTTATTTCTGCTAATGTAGCAAAAGACTATGGGCTGAGCATTGTGGGGAAAACTAAGCCAGTTAAAGAAAATGTACCTGCCGAACATCATCAATAAATGCTTCATGTGAACCACAGTAAGACCCAAAAGCCAATCTAAGATCAATAGTCCTGAAGTCTAGGGGACGAGACACCATTGCAGGATAGCCAAGAAGTCCCTCATCATCATCATCGGGATTCAGAAATGTTTTTCCCAAGAGATTGCAGAAGACTTCATCTTCATCTGCAGCAGCAGCACAGCGTAGCACAATGCGACATTGTTTCATGATCAGATCAGACAAACTAGTCGTACTCTTCACCTTTTCTTTCTTCTCAGGCTTCTGCTGCAGAATTCCACTGCCAACATTGTCCAGAACTGAGATAACTGCTCTCTGTATTCAATCCACAGAGACAAGATTTAAGTAAAGCTTATCTTTATTACATGCGTACTCAGATGGTAAGATCTGGATTTTGCAAAGGCACGAACAACTAGTTCATTTTTAAATGTAAGCTTGATAGATTAGGTAAGAAGAGCACCTTAGTTGGCCCTGAAGCATTACCCTTATACACTTCTTTACTGATAGACTGCTCCAATCTTATCTTAGCCCATTCAGGTGGATTTCTCTCTAAAGCTTCATTTACACACCTTCTAATCCGGGCTCCCACATTTGTGGGTAACTTTCTCACAGGTTCCAGAACTCGTACCCATTCAGGGATTGTGCCGTCATTCAACTCAATCATTTTAGAAGCACCATCTGGATCAGTCTCTTTCTCATATATGCTAATAACCTCACTTTCACTCTTCAATGATCCAAATATTTGCTTCATGGTGTCTCCAAGAATCTGTGAATCTCATACATTACATCATATTAGTCAACAAGTCATTTACAGCCTGAGGGGTAAGTGAAAAAGAATAATTTTTCTTTTTTAAAGGTAATCAAGTATTTTATTAATCAATGCATAATATACAGGAAAAGTATTATCAATTTAAATCAGAAAGTAACAACATGAAATTAGGCAGCCCATCTATTATGCCTAGTAGCCGCAACATTAAACCAAGTATACAATGCGAAATAAAACAATTCCCTAATATGCTCTATTGTTCGCAACAAAACCAACATCTTTCATGGATAGTTACAATGGCATCTGATTCAGACCTTAAAATGCATCAAATGACCAATAAATGTGGATTTTATTTCCAGACAAGTACGAAATTAACTTGACAAAAGTTACATCACTGACTACCCTCTCTCCAACTATAGCGGAGACTGGCTAAGCCATAGCACTGATTCTATTCAAATGCAGGGTCTATAGAAGAGGTTCTGGTCATTTCCTAGCAAGTGAGCACGTCAACAAGAACCAAAGATCATCATGTAACAATTAAGGAACAAAAGAAAGTCATTTTGTGAGACTATAAGGAAAAGGATGATGCATGCATGGAAACTGAAATATAGCTGAAGTCAACAGCACTGTTTATATGAATTAACCATAAGATGTGAATGAATGATCTCTACTCATAATTTTCAGAAATATTCAGTTTTCCAAAAGTGCGATGAGAACTGCATATATTATAGAATCCAAGATATTAGCCTGTCATAACCTGATACGCTTATTATTACAGAAATTTATACAAAGAACAGTGAGTTATCCTGAAGTGAACAATCCTCATACCAAGAGCTATTATAATATGCCTTTTTCTTTCATTCCCAATATGCTTTCTGAGCATGGTCTCGAAATTACTTCCATTTAAGACCAAAAATTATTAGATGCAGTCATATACCATAGATCTTGAAACATATACCTCCAATTATGTGATGAAGGTAATTAAAAATGAATGGAAGTAGCACCAATATAGTTTATTTTCACTCTTCTATCTGTCATGAATTTTGGCTTCAAACCATAAGATTGACAAAAAGAACTGTGAGTAAATCCTACCACTGCATCTGCCTCCAATCCTTCCATGCCTGTAAAAGACCCACAAAGTGTCCCACCATCACCTTGTAAGCAATGGAAAACTTTCCCGCTCTCACGGCTAGCAATCTCTGCAGAATCAAGATTACCATCCATGGACAACACAGCCAAAATGTATCTACGGGCAATTTCAGGCCAAGTAAGTGCATTGACTGGAAGAGCATCAAGCTTCAATTTTGTCGAAGCAGCCAAACCATCCGAATCTTTCTTCCTGCCTCGTCTTGATTTAGATTCTCCAGAATCAAACTTGGAACTTACATATAGTACGACTTTCGACAACAATGCACTAGAAAGCAGTTTCAGAAGTGAGACATGAGTCTTAGCCAGAATCTGACCAGTACATCTGCTAAGACAAGCAACTCTGCCTTGAGAGACCTCCCCGTCTCTTACATAGGGGGTGGCATCTCCAGTATCCTGAGTTTCATTTCCAGAATTTTCTAGCTGATAAAGACTGTCTAACCATGGGTTTATGAGTTCTGATTCAAGTTCCTGAAAAGAAAATGGATCTCCAGTCCCCAAAACTTCTATGAAATGCCACGAGAGTTCCCAAACCTGATACAATATAGAATTAATAAGCATAGAACCTGCAAACTATTTTATTAAAATAATTGAACTACTTCATGGTACCTGCAGAGCGTCACCCATTAAATATGCAGGAAGCCTTGAGCTAAGTGGCTTGCCTGGAGGACAATGATCCAGCATCGCCTTGTCTTCTGAATAATCTAATTGCAATTTAGGTCTCTTCGAACTTCCAACGGAAGAGACTGATTCCCTCTCACCTAGTGTGTCACTCTTCTTTTTAGCCTGGAGGAATCCACTCCCAACCGTTTGTAGGTTTGAAATATGCTTTCTATCGTTCAAAGTTACATATCCTGAACATGCAGGAAATCCAGGAAGCAGTTCTATGATTTCCTGAACAAATTCTGCATCCAGTCCAAACCTATCCTGTTTTAACCACGTCATCAGCATTCCACAAGCTGTATTTAACTCATTATCACTCCGAATTGATTGCGGGATCTGGATAGGGCCAGCCAAAGAAGAAAATTTGGACAATGAATCGATGTTCTCCAAATATTGAGTATCTGTACCATCTGCATCATGACTACAAAAAAACTGAACTGCGCCATTTTGTTTATATTTCTCCTTATAAGCACAGAGAAAAGAATCGGAGACCATTTCCCAAACAGATGATGAAGATATTCCCTCCACTTGGAATTCTCCAATGACATCTTTGAGTCCTGAGATGGAAATTGCTAAATTTCCAGACATCTGAGGAAGGCGTTCTAGCTCCAACATTGAAAAATTCGCTTCTTGGGAATGACAAAATTCATTTGCTCTATTTGAAGTTGAAGTTTCATAATTTAAACATGGAGGGACATCTTCATTTAGCATCATTTGTATAAAAGTACTTTCATCATCGATCGCCTGGTATATGGCCGGATCATCTTTCTTCATTTTGTCTTCCCCTTCACAAGAACCAAGTTTCGGCCTTGAGAGGATAGTTGAACCGATGGGGATGTACTGTGTGGTGCAAGGATATCTATGAACCTTAAAAATTGGGCCAGACTCACCTCCATCTGCTACCTCACATACAAAAAGAGACCCAGTAATTTTATCATGCCAGATGGATTTGTAACCTACAGGCCAGATCTGGCTAATAGTGTGGTATGATGGCCGTGAATCAACATTGCCAGCTGAAATAAGATAAAAATCCTCAAACTGCATTGGGAACCCATCCTGGATCACAGTCAAATAATATTTACAATTAACATAAGATATAAGAAGACAAACATGGACACAACTCTTTACACAAGAGGGAAGGTGGAAGGGTGGGTTTGAAAAAATCAAGGTCCATTATAGTTCATGCATAAACTTACATGAATTCCACATATTCCAGGGCCACCATCTTCAGCAAAACCAAGTCCCCGCATGCTCTTGCTATTATTCATATCAAGGCTATCCTTGGTCCCTGAGCTTGACAAGAAACCCCTGCAATTACTGCTCCTCAGTGTACTCTGACTTGGTCCACAACTTCTGGCTGTCAGAGACCCAGAAATTTCATGCGTTGCTGGATCATTTTGTAACCCATTTTGCGATTCATTGTAACGATTTTCATTCTCTACACAATGATATCTTGGTGGCAATCCTAAATGACAAGCAACATCATCCATAGATTTGAGCCTACTTCCATCTGGGGCAATATAAACAGCAGAGGTTTTGCAACTTCTTTCACAGTACTCGAATTCGACACACCAACCTTCTCCCAGGACACCATTCCTTTTAGAGATATATTCTCTGAGAGTTTGCAGATATACCATGTTTGAACTTTGAAGAGAGTTGAATGAGTCAAAATGACTAGTCAGAAGACTCCCATCAAATGTGGATCCAAGATGAACTTTATCTGAATTGCCTTCGAAATGCATTCTCCGCTTCACCGCGTCTTCGAAACCCAATTTAGCAGTACCTGTGGCAGCCCACGAGCTCTTCAGAAGATTATATCCCTTGTCCACACACAAATTACTTGAAAATGTAGTTTTGATTCGATGGCCAGAAAAATAAGTATCAAGCAAAGCCTGTATTCTACAAATTACAAACACACAAGCATTAATAATATTGTACGAAGAAAAGTTATCTCCAAGGAGGATAAACATAAACAAAATCCAAAATCATTGCAGATTGTTATTCAATCACAAACCCTATATCCTTCTACTTGTAATAACACAAACAATTATATACGACACTAGAAGAATGAAATAATGAGCCTGACAAGAGAACAAAAATCCAAAAGCAACTCAAGTTACAGCAGAGCACCACAATGTGGAAGAAGCCCCTAGAAAAATCCACCTCCCTTCGATGATATGGAGGCAAGAAAAACAACACAATCCCATAATAAATGAAGTGGAGTACAGATGAATCTGTATCGGGGCCAGATATCAGGTTCAGGGGGGCATGACTTAACTGCGGAATTGTTTTTCAAACAAGACAACAACCATTACGGATATCAAGACAATAAAATGCCAATTTGTTTTGAGATTTTACAAGCAAATCTACAATTTTACAAGCAAATTCAGAACTTTGAGATTTTCACTTAGGGACCAGCAACATAGAATTTTGCGCCATTTTTCAATTGTAGTAGTAAAATTTGTGTGTCCCAACTTCAAAACCTTGCAGCAAACTTCAAACTCCAGTCCAGTATATCAAAATGACATTGTTCTTTGTGTCACGTTTGTTTATAGATGGTGAATACAATAAAATGCCTCATTTGTCAAGTTGGATTGTTAAATGAAAGCACATTACATATTAATATGAACCTTTTGAACCCCATACCAAGACTTAAACATTTCGCAGTGCACATGTACTTAATTAGAACAAGTTTCTGTCTAAAGTAAATTATTAGTAGAATTAAATAATGAGAGAAAGCGATTACTCGAACTTATATGTTGCCTCCAGTTTATAGAATCCTGACAAGGAGTTTTAAACTCGGAAATAAGCTGAATTTATTAATTGAATATAACTCTATTTCTTTTGAAAAATACCACAAAATAATATTTTGTCTATTTGAACAAATTTATGAAAGAAAGTGAACATACTAATATCTATATTAAAAGGCTAAAAACCAAATTTGCATAAAATGTGAGACAAGATGAAACTAAATTAATAGGAGGAACAAATACTCTTTTAACATACGCATCTCTTCTATCAGCTCGTAAAATTTATAGATAAAAGCAAAAACAGCCTTTCAAACAGTAGAGAACTGATCAGCCTCAAATGGTGATATGGATAAATTCTATATGTATGGATTTTGAATGGAGATCTGGGATTAAATGGGGGAGTGGGGTTTGGATTTTGGGATACAGAATTAGGGATCCAGGAAAGTAGAAACGTGTTTTGGAGCATGCCAAACAGTCAAAATTGGGGATCCATTTTATTTAGGCGTTTTTAAGAGAAAAAATTGAGAAGGCAGATTGAAAAAAAAAATCTCAAATCCAGTGGCCATAGCTGAACCTTCCTAACTGAAATTCTCAAAAATTTGAGAATTCCTCTCGAGCCAAAAGCACCAAGTAATATAAAACTATGCAAGTCTGTATCCTCATTTATTGTATGCCAAGTTCTAGAAAATTGCCTTGAAAATTACCTCCACCAAAGTGCAGAAGACAAATTGATGCGGCGGAAGTTTAACGGAATGAAGAACACAATCGAAAAAATCAATTATTCAAAATTGAATGCCAAGAGTGGGTCGCAAGAATTAGAAAAACTCCAAACTTCTAGTTTCTATTCTATAAAACAACCAAAACACCAACGGGGCTGCGGCTACTGATTTAAAACAAACCCTACTTGCTAATCTAAAGTATATTATACCCTAAGTCCTCACTCTTTAATTAAATTAAGTAAATGACCCCTATATACTTCATAAAAATAGCATAATTGAACAATCGTTAAACCTTATGCCATTGGCCTTGAGCCTTTTGAACCAAAATTAAGTGGGTCGCTTGGGCTCAACCAATCCATGTTTAAATTTTTTGTTTTGCTAGAATAAGGATCCAGGAGTAGTTAGGCTCAGGATTAAAATAACTTGAGCTGCTTAAAGCAGAATCGAGGTAATTAATAACAGAGAGAAAATTGGATTGAAAGAGCTTTTGGAAGAAATCAAAATAAAATCTTTCTACTCAGGCTGATTTTACCTTGTATTGAAAGGCGTTTTGACAATTAGAGAAAACATGTGACATGAAAGTAAATAACATTTATGATGATAATCTTCATTTAAATCTATTAGTATATCTTCTTGCTGGCTTTCAACTTCTACTGTTCTACATTTCAGTTTTGGACTCATGCATGAATGATGCTCCTTTACTTGGTAAAGAAGCTTAATTATCTACTGCCCAACTTACTGTATTGCACCATGGGGTGTGTATAACCTAAACTATTTGAAGCATTAACAAAAGCCAACAGACTCGTTGATACTAAAGATCACTATGATATGCTCCACTCTTACCGCCTATCAAATATTTGATTAACATGGAAATCCCATTACTTTGGCTCCTGTGAAAGCATAACATGTTATTTCAGAAAATATGGTCTTATAGCATTGCCTGGCACTAGAAACATACCATGCTTCTATGCATTCTTATTGGAGCGCCTTTCACATAGGAGTTGCTCAATGTTCGATAACACAAGTTTATGGACTTCAATTTTAACTTCAAATATTATTTGCCTCGCGTCATTAATCACGTGATTGAGAGAACACATCAAATTGAGTTAGTTTAGGATCCATTATAAATGAGGCTAAGACAAGTGTCAAAAGAAGAGTTTTGACCTATCATCCTGTTCACGTGGACGCCGTAAACATTACCTCCATCAAAATTTGCTTTTGCTCATACCATTAAAATGAAAATTATAAGCAGCATAACAATTAACCACCAGTACATGTGTACCAAGTAAACATTGAGAACATTTCTCCGTGCTCAAGAGGTTGTAGTCGGACTTCTTGTAAATATAAGCACACAGAAAAATTCATTGAGTTATTAATTAATTTCCCTTTCAGATAAACATTGAATTCTTATCAATTATTCACATTCAAAACAAGTAAAGAAACAATTGATCACCAAAAGAACCCTGGTACAGAAGAAATTATCAGAAAACATATTGCTCCGAAAACATGTGAGTTCCCGCACGTTAAAGGCAAGCAACGTTGAGAAGTTTAACCAATTCAAAAGTGAAAGGAAGTACAGTAATCGTTAACTTGCTTAAAAGTGCAATGTGAAAATAAAAAAGAATCATATACTTTCAAATAGCACAAAAAGTACATATAAAGAAAGAAAATCCGTACTTGTTAGTGCCACCGTGATTCCGCTCCCTGTTCTGCCTTGCAGTCGCAGCCACGCGATCAGTTAGGTGCACAAAATTCCGCTCCACTTCGGCCTCCGCCTCCCGTGGCGGCGAAGCATTGATATCTAAAAGCCCCACACCACTACCACTGCCGCCGCCGACACTTCCACCACTCTTCAGCAAACACCTAAAGCACTTCCACTCCTCTGACGCAGGCCCATTACGTCTCCCGCCCGGAACCCCCTTCTTACAAACTGCGCAGACCAAAATTCCACCTGACGGACCCCCCTCAGCTTCGCGGGGTGAGGTAATCGGCGTCTCGTTCAGATCAATAAAAAATGCCATATTTTTTGCAGTTCACATCAGGGCTCCCATTATTTCAGTATCCAATTCTCAAAAACTTGCAGAAAAATCCCGCCCAAAGCTCTCAACATCAACGAGCAATATAGGAACATAAAACTAATACCTCTGTATGGATATTATGTATAAGCGTTAGAACTAAAAGGTAAAGGGTTTTTTGGGATATTTACAGAACAGAAATTTTGTGCGCTTTTGTATGGAAAAATTGGAGGGGGAGAGAGGCGTGTGGAGTGGGGTAATTGTACGGAGGGGGGTGGTGTAGTGTCGTGAAAGCGGTTTAGATGGTTGGTGGATTAGTTCGGTTCGAGGTTGAAATTACAAAACCGTCCTTGTCGATTATAGGGATAATTTTGGTATTTTGCATGGAATTTGGGGTTTTTACTTTAGAAATTCATTTATCAAACAAGGGAGTTAATTATTTCAATAATCACCCAACTTATACCACTATCATGAGTTACTCACTAAATTTCAAAGTGTTTCACAGTACTCGCTTAATTTTATCCGTTTGCACCCTCATCATTCTCAAAAATTCGTTACATTATTCGCTGATATGGTAAATGAAAATTTCATGTAGCAAATTATGATCGTTAAAAAAATTGCAACCCAATCAATCTATTGTTTCATTACTTATTCAACTTATATTTAGTTACGGTATACTCATCAAAACTTTAAAATGCGTCCCAATGGTAACTTATTTTTGAGATTGTACTCCATACATCATCTGATATATTTTGTTTCTTTCGTTGCTAATGTATCGCAGGAAAATTCCATGTGACAATTTAAAATCGTTAAAAAAGTTACAATTGAGCCAAACCCATCAATTCACCAAAATCACCATATATGAAATACGACTTTCACAACTCATAAATTTCTTTAAAACCTAATAAAGCATCCCAATTTAAGCCCCGAAAAACCCTAGCACCTGATTATAAATAGAATAATGCTGTTTGTACTTATGGCCTTGACAAAATAGATGACCGGATTTTGAAAATAAGGAAGGAGGCCCCACATTTGGTTTTTTAACAATAAACAATACAATAAAGCTGCTTGTCTGAATAATCCATTTCCACACTCAAACTCCAACAGTAGCGCGAAAATGAAGACGTAAATTTTTACCCTCCATCACCTCCGTCTCCATGTTTCACCCAGCTTCGCCCGTCTCCATGTTTCATCCAGCTTCGTCTCTGTCTTCCACGTGAACGTTTGTCTTTCAAACTTCAATCGACCCTCGTTTGTACATGCCCATCAACTCCAGCTTCTTTAATCGATCGCCATCTAGTCTCCGTCTTCCAGTTGAAAGTCCAATCGTCTTTCATTGTAGCTTCAATCGAGCTTTTGTTGTCCAGCCCATCAACTCCAGCAGCTTCAATCGATTGTCGTCTTTCATTCTAGCTTCAATCGAGCCTTCCAGTAGCTTCAAAGCTTCAATCGACCCTCGTCTTTCATTCTAGCATCAATCGAGCCTTCCAGCAGCGTCAAAGCTTCAATCGATCCTCGTCTTTCATTCTAGCATCAATCGAGCCTTCCAGCAGCTTCAATCGTTCGTCGTATGTCCAGCTTCGTGTAAGCGGCATGATCAGCTCAGCTCGAGCTTCCTCTGAATGTGAAGGTCCAACTTTGTAATTCTGCTTCGTGTAAACAAAGAAACGGCGACCCATTACACACTAAGGTATGAGCACTGTCGTGCTATAGATTGTTCGAATTTCCCAACTTTGTATGCTATGGATTATGCATCATCCAAAATGCAATGCATCCATAGGTGATACTCTGCATTGGTATGTTTTTCCCCAAACTGGGGTACTGAAATTTTGATTAAATTGTAACCATGCTTCGTCACGTTAAACGGGAGTGAATTGTCAGAATTGATATTTTTACCTAACTCATTCTGCAATCCTTACATCTACATTGAAATGAATGATTTGTGCGGTGTTAATGTATTGCTGAATTGGAGTGCTTATATTTTCGCAGTTGAATAAATCATGGATGACGTTGATGATGATATTTTGGTCATCTCCGACAATGAGAACGTGGAAGAGAGTATGAACCAAGTGGGAGACATAATTGAACAAGGAGATTGTAGTATTGTGCCCGAGGTAGGAATGACATTCAAGGATGAAAACGAAATGTGGGAGTTCTACAAAAGATACGCCTATGCCGTAGGTTTTCCAGTTAGGAAACGCACTTCAAAGAAGGATGATGACGGATTTTTAAGATATCTGACATTGACATGTAGTCGGGAAGGCAATAGAAGTTCTACTAAAATCAGCTCTTTCAAGCCGCAACCTACAATTCAGACGGGTTGCAAAGCTAGGATATCTGCATCTTCGGATATTCATGGCTCGTGGAGAATCAATACAGTCCATTTAGAGCACAATCATAAAACAAGTCCTACAAAGTCCAGGATGTACCGTTGCAATCGAGAACTAAGTGTACACGTGAAGAGGAAACTTGAAGTGAATGATTTAGCTGGCATTCCATTGCATAAATCGTACAACTCGGCAGTGGTGGAAGCAGGTGGTTATGAGAATATGACTTGCAACGAAAAAGATTGTCGAAACTATATTGAACATGTTAGGCGATTACGACTTGGAGCAGGAGACGCGGCAGCAATACAATCCTACTTTTCAAAAATGCAGTCAACGTGTTTGGGTTTTTACTTTAGCATGGACTTGGATGACGAATCGCGTCTAAGGAATGTATTCTGGGCAGATAATCGGTCGAGGCAAGCGTTTAAGGAGTTTGGGGACGTTGTCACATTTAATACCACCTACTTGACCAATAAATATGACATGCCGTTCGCCCCTTTTGTTGGCGTAAATCATCACGGGCAATCAACGCTGCTTGGTTGTGGTTTGTTGTCGAATGAGGACACAGGCTCTTTTGTGTGGCTATTCACAGAATGGCTTAAGTGCATGCTTGGTCAAGCTCCACATGGAATAATTACAGATCAGGATCGAGCGATGCAGAATGCAATTCAGATAGTGTTTCCAAATACGAAGCACAGATGGTGCTTGTGGCATATATTGAAAAAGTTGCCTGAAAAGTTTGGCTATCACGTGGACAAGAGTTCGATATTCTCGACTATTCATGGACTTGTTTATGATTCTCAGAATATTGAAGAATTTGAAGGAGGTTGGATATCGATGATTGAATAATATAGATTGCAGGATAATACTTGGTTGTCAGGCCTGTATGATAATCGAGGGCGATGGGTCCCTTGTTTTTTGAAAACCACTTTTTGGGCAGGGATGTCGACAACGCAGAGAAGTGAAAGTATGAATGCATTTTTCGACGGATACGTTCATTCAAAGACATCTTTGAAACAGTTTGTCGACCAGTATGAACGGGCATTACGGAATAAGGTGGAGAAGGAATTGCAAGCAGATTTCAGATCATTTTCACAAATGGTACTGTGTGCAACAACTTATGACATGGAGAAGCAGTTTCAGTCAGTATACACCATTTCAAAGTTTAGAGAAGTTCAAGAGGAGTTTACGGGTAAGGTGTACTGTGATATCATGTCTTCATCCGAAGAACTTCTGGGGACGACGTACGATGTACGTCAAGATGTTATATATGAACAATGCCGGAGGAAGAAATCATTTCAAGTCACATATTGAAGAGATGAATGCGAAATTAGTTGCAGCTGCCACTTGTTCGAATTCAGGGGAATAATATGTAGGCATGCTATCACTGTGTTAATCCGTAATGACATCGCATTTCTTCCCGATAGGTACATTTTGCGATGTTGGAGAAGAGATGTTAATAGAGCACATACGAGGGTCGTAGTAAACTATGATGGATTGGTTAGTTCTCCTGGGCAGCTGAGATACGATAGTATGTGCCAAGCTTTTGCTGTGTTGGCAAACCTTGCTGCAGATGATGAAGCTCGAACTCGTGCCATAATGGAATGGATTGGACATCAATCTAAGGAGCTAGCATTAACGAAGTCGATTTGTGGAAGTAATACCAGTGCATATCAAACTAATCAGTTAGCCGACTCCCAAAATATTGTGAGCCATAATGTATTGGATCCGATATCTTCCCGGAGAAAGGGAGCACCAAGAAAAGTTCGACGAAAAGGACCTTTGGAGTCGACATCAAAGAAGGTACCGGTATATGGATCCCAAATACTACGCAAAATTGAAATTTATTGTATCCACAAAGTCTAATTTATTATGATGGAAGTGCAGGGAAGATCGACTTCTATTATACGAAAGAGACCAACATCAAAGCGTACTCAGATGCGAGCGGGTGAACTCGAATCTCAGTCCATATCTACAGCTGAACAATATTCCATGTCTCCACAAGTCACAATATCACAACTATCACTGCCAAGGCAATTCCCATTACCACAAGGTAGGTTCACATGAGTTAAATAGTTAGATGGTTTCATATATGCACTAATGAAAGCATAATTCCTATTGCAGGTAATAGTTCTCCATTCTATTATCCTTCTTTGCCGGATGGATCCGGCACAAGTTTATGATGTACAGGCAGATTTTGAGTTTTGATTTTGCAAATAGGTGAGATTCATTCAACGTTGGGCTATCTTATTTTTCTTCATCATTTTGGGCTGTCTTATTTTTCTTCCTTATAGGATCACATGCCATATTTTAGGCAAAGGACAATAAAGGAGATTTTGCTGGCATTCTTGTTTGTGAAACCTGGCAAAGGAGCTGGTGACCCATATTCTTCTCAAGCCAGGGGACTATATTACTCTTCCAGTGGTCGCTTCTTTGGACGGTTTTGATTTTGTTCACATTTTGAATTGATGTTCTGTGAAACTTGTGAGTTCTCCCTATTTTAGTGAGTTTCGACCAGATAATTGAGGGATCTGATCAAGGGAATTTGACTATTTGTTAACACAGGCAAGCATTAATTATGTGGCAAACATCAAGATGGAGCCAGCCTTTTTGGAAATATTATCTGTTGCATTTTGGAGGCAGCATTGTTCTGATGATGAAAAAACGAAGATGGATCCA